CATTTAAAATTTGAAACCCCTCACAAAGATGTGGTTACCTTGCTTACAACATGGGACCTCTGATACTGGTGCCAGCATTAGGCTTGGTATGCCTGTTAAAAATCATACTATGCTCCTTAAAGCAAGAGGGAGACAGAGGTGGAGATGAGAGATTTAGAAAGAAAATTCCAGAGCTTATCACCTGAGATGCTAAAGCGTGACCAGCAGTGGTAGAGGATAAAAATCGAGAGACATGTTATAGCCAGAACTGGAGAAGCACCGGATCTCAGAGAGGTGAGGGGTTGGAGGATGTCGGAGATAGGGAAGCACCAAGATGATGGATGTTAAAACAAGGATAGAGATTTTGCAAATGAGGCATTAGTTGACCAGGAATCAATATAGGTCAGGGAGCAAAGTAGGTATTGGGAGAATAAGGCTTGAATACATGTTTATGAACAGATATATAATTGCACAAAATTATTCCATGGAGTTCTTCACACAGAACAATCATTTATCAAACCTTCAACATGGCTGAGATCTTCCTGGGACCCACCCTAACTTCCATTAAAATAGCTTCAGCTGCCCAAACTGCAAGTGTCTCTGCTAAAACAAAAATCAGTGAACAGCAGCAACAATAATGTTTTAGCAGAAGACACCCTAGGTATCCCTTCCTTCCTCAACCATGGACCCACTAGTGTCTGTGAATACTAGCTTGATAATCTATGGCATATAAATTACCAGAGCATGAGCATGTGCATATTCGCTACATTCTTGTTACTGTGTAGGAACCTGAATCATGGGAAACTGCAACACTAGTTGTTTATCAGTGACTGACAGCTGCTGCCTAATATCAAAACAGTGAGAACACTTTTGAGCAAACTGAACAGTTATTGTCACAGAACACAGACATTTCACAAACTCATGACAAGAGAACTTTTTATTCCCCCAACTCTACAGCAATGAATTAATAAAATTAAAAGCCCAATAAGAAATTAACATAACATGATAGTTTTCAGACTCCACTGTGCCATTATTCCACAATTAGACTGAGTTTGTGAAGTCCAGATGCTTAGTAAGAGTTTTGTAGCCAAAGATATCAACATGTTTTCAGGGATTATGCTCAGCATTCACAACAGCAAACATTCCTTTATACAAAGGTCTCCAATGAACATAACAGAGACACAGCACAGGTTAAAAAGTATAACAGTATTCTAAGGTATTTTTATGAGGATTGAAATTTATTCTTTACCAAACTTTCCACTGCAAGAATTGCAACATGAAAGGCAAATGGTGGTAAAGTGCTTGTGCCTCGTCCACTTCATTTCAAAACAAGAAAGCAATAAGTCAGTGTTCTGATTTTCACCTAAACTGTTGCCTTTACATAACAGTTTTTACAAAATAGAACAAATCATGGAACAAAATGTGATTGAGTCACATTGGGAAATATCAGGGCATGTGACCAAAAACCTGGTCAAAGAGGTAGGTTTTAAGTACCATGCTGTCTGAAAGGAGAAAATGCTGTTGGGAGATTTAGGGAGCAAATTACACCATTCAACATCCATACAGCTGAAGCCATGGCTACCAATGGTTGAGTAATTGAAGTCAGGGATGCAGGAGGCTAAAATTAAAGGGACTCACATCATAAAAGATGTCAGCTGGAGGTGGTTAGGGAATAGGGAGGAGTGGGACCATGAACGGGTTTGAAAACAAGGATGAGAATTTTATAAATGTTGCCAGACAAAAGGCCAATATTGGTAAGGGAGCACAGTAGTTTACAGCCAACAAGACTTGGTGCGTGTTGGATACAGGCAACCCCCAGAATTCTAGATGACCTTAAGTTCTCATCTTTCTTTTGCCCTCACTGACAGAAACAGGAATTGTTGGCATACAGCCTGAAGCACATCTGGCACCCAATGAAATGGCTACACAATAGTTTAGTCTAGACAGTACCAGCACCAGCACCCTCAAATAGTGATCAGGCATGAAAAATCTGGCTGCTTTTCACAGAATCATTATGATGTAGGAGGTTGCCATTCAACCCATTGTCTCTACACTGATTCTCCAAATGAACCTCATGATTATTCTGCCTTTTCCCCATAATTCTGCATATAATGATTCAAATAGAAACTAATTCCCTCTTTCATACTTCGATAGAGCTTGCCCCCAACACAATTTCAGGCTGTGCATTCCAGACCCAAACCCTATTCTGTGTGAAGTAGTTTTTTTCCACCCACACAGTTGTTGTTTCTTACCCTTTATCTGATCAGAGAGAAGACAAAGAGATCAATTTGATCAACAGGAAACAATGTCAAACCTTTGAACCTCTTTTCTGTACAGCCGCTTATTATACCAGACAATGCAGGCACTAATGGTGACCATTTTCATCAGGCCAACAAAGTCTGTGCCCAAGGTGTCCAGTTTTGATGCAGCATTTCTACATTCTCAGCATAGGACAGATTGAAGCATCAATACAAGGCAGTCTCTCTCATCCTTAATTCCTCATGCTGTATGCCTGCATTGACCAAACAAATGCCTTTGCAGACAGGGTGGATTACTACTTCATTATGCCGAAAGTGCAAATAAACACAAAGCCCCCAACAACAAAATGCATCAAACACACTGGTATTGCCACCTCCTCCAACATCCTACACTTGTTGAATTGCAGGACTTTCCAAAGAAGCAACCACCATTTTACACAAATTGACAGTAGCATGGTAAATCCAGATAGACATTTACAAACTAAAAGTTCACAATGTGCCAGCAAAGAACAGCTGGATAGATTGGCCTGTCCCGAGACCACAGACACTAAAGGAACATATCGTTCTCCAAATACGAATAAATGAGGAACATAGCATAGGAGCCCCAATGGCCTGTTCCACTATCCACCTGGATCCTGGTTGATCCGTACTTTAATTCCAATTTAACTGCCTTTGCTCCATACCCCTTGATATCCAAACATTTATTGATCTCAACCCTGAAGTCTCCAGCATCCAGAGCTTTTTGGGAAGAGAGTTCCAAATTTTCACTCTTCTTAAAAAGAAAATACTTTCTGATCTCCTAAATGGTCAAACTCTATGTTTCAGTATTGCCCTTTTGTTTTGAACCAAACAGGGGAAATAGTTTCTATTTATCTACACTATCAAAACCTTCAGCATCTTAGAATTTACCTCAGCCAAATCATGCCTGTAAGCTTCAAAATAAAGATATAATTACTTAACTTTGAAGATCTGTGGTGGAAGAGTTGGAGAAGGCAAATGAATAAAATCAAAGCTCCAATCTGAAAGCAGCAAAAAAAAAACCTTCACCTCATGATATCACATCCCAAGAATGTGCACAAGCCACTACAACCCAGACCAGCATTCCATAGCGTCCCAATAAAACTATGCCCTGGGGATGATTCAAAATTCATCAGAAAAGAAATTGTGGCCCACAATCAGTATTATTTTGTATAATTATTCTATGTAAACACTTCAAACAGCTCAGTGGAATAATAAAAAAACAACAGCATAGTGTTGACAAACCATTAACAAACAGAACTGTAAAGCCTAAACGCAAGCACAAAATGGGAAAAGGATAACAGTTTGTGATTCTCTATCCAAATCTTCGTAAATAAAAATATTTAAAACGTAGCTGAATCAGATTGCAGAACTATGAACTGGAGGCAGAATCATAACGCAAAACACAGTTTGACAATACAACAAACCACACTTTCACTTAACACAGAAAGCCAAAACAAATCCACCTGTTCCAGCCACATATCTCCCTTCATCAGCACTGCAACAAAAACAGGAATTATTCTGTCATTCATGGGGGGAATCCCTTCCTCACTCGGTCGACTTATCAGGAAGCGATCACAAACATGAACAACTCGCACTCAATTACCACCACTTTGCTTAGCTGATGGATGACCCTTCTAAATAAATAAATATATATTTGGTATACTGACTCATTTAGAGAGAAAAAAAACAGACTTCAAAGAACGCTTTCTCCACACCTGGAGCAGCAGGGGCTGCTGAAAGGTAGATTTGGAATATAAATTATTGGCTGAATCGATGGGTTCAAGGGTCTCTCTGCACCTTCCCCCACCACCCTGCACTAAATTACTAGAGGGGGAAGGCAATGGGGCTTGTGGAAGGAGACAGTGACATACTGCCCTTGCTTCCAACACCAGCCCACTGCCCCTAAGGTAGCTTAGGCTCAGTGAAGAAACATAGTGAGTAATGGAACCCAATATTCTCTCTTCTCACCTGTCCCAATTGTCCATTCCTGCACACATACTGATCGCCTCCATACACTCATCAGTAACCTAACTCACTCCCTCCCTGATACACCCCTTTTTTCACCTCAATATTCCCTCCTTCATACTCGCTGCTCCCCAATATCCTAAGTGTCCTGAAAACCTAAACGCCAGCCCTATGCCCTGATCATTGATCATCCAATCCTCTAGATACCCTCACCCAAAGAGAAACCATCCTCAAGATCCTGACCCCAAACACCCCCTGTCCACTCCCATAAAAGCTCTAAACCTGTTCCCCTCCACCAAGATCCTCTTTCCAAAGACCCTCGACCTCAGTCCTTCCCCTGCTCAAGCACTGATCCCCTTCCCTTCCCCCCCCCCAACCAATGACACATCCTCCCCCTCTTTCTCTCCTCTGCAGACCACTTAGCCCTCTCCCAGATCCTGCTATCACAGACCCAGACAGTGAACACCACCCCACCCCCAAAACCCTTGCCAGAGTCACCCCCAACTCCGCTCTCACTGACACCTCCTTCCCATCTCCACCCAGGCCCTCCTTCAACCTCCTGACAATCCCCTTCTTCCCTGACTGAACCCCCTACACCTTCTTTCCCTGACACTCTCTTCCCCCCCCCCCCCGCCCCCCCTCCCTCTCCCCCCCTCCCCCCCCCCCCCCTCCTCCAACCGCCCCCCCCCCCCTCACGTCCCCCTCCCTCCATTAACCGCTCCCCCCACTATTTAACCTCTCTCTCCCTCCCCCAATCCATTCCCCTCCAGGCCCTACCTCCTCGCTCTCGGGCTCCGGTTTTACGGCTGCGGGAAGGTTGGACGCCGTCTCTCGCTCTCCTGTTGCCGCCGCTCGTTCCCGCTGACGCCGACGCGCGCTCCCGCTCCCGAACCTCCCCGCGCGCCCCCGCTACCACCTAACGGGTGCGCGCGCGGCGGCCGGCAGGAAACCGGGCTCCTCCATTCCACCCAGGGAGGTCACTGGCTCTCACCTCACTCGTTTTGACGCCGTATACAAATCCAAAAGAAACGGCCAATCATCTAGATTATAATATAGATATATTTATCATGTAATCTATGATATTTAGGAATCCAGGAAGAGGAACCCTGATAACTTTCTACTTTCCTCTGATTAACTCCCCCACCTGTTTCTGACATTGGACTTATCCGTTACCAAGTGCGGCTGAACAGGAAATAACGTCATGGACATACCAGCCGATACTTTTCCCCCAAAAGAAAGAAATCCATTAGGTTAGAAATTATAACAGCTGTTCCCTTCTGGCAGTTTGTTATCTTTTTCCCGCTATGTTGTTATAAAATTTCGAAAATAACCTTAAAGAGCTGAAAAATGTAGTTTCCTAGAGCGCATGTGTGGCGTGGTGTGTTCTGGGACTTGTAGTTCTCTTCGCGTTTTAAAGGAACAGGCGCCGCAGATTTATTAAAGGGGAATCTGCAACCTCATCTTGAATCAGTCACAGACATACAACACGGAAACAGACCTTTCGGCCCAACTCGTCCATGCCGACCGGTTTTCCTAAACTAAATTAGTCCCATTTGCCTGCGATTGGCCAGTAGAACAATGTTGGAAAAATACAGGGATAGTTTTGGGTTAAAAGTGGGGAAGAGGGTTTCAGTAGCTGGCTCCAGTTTTGTGGATTTAGAACTAGTATAGACAATTGAACATCGAAATTTCTTATTTTGGGGATTGCAATATAACATTGGTTTCAAAACGTGAGAAGATGATCTTCTAAAAACTGAAAGAACTGTGGATGCTGCAAATCAGAAACCAAAACAGAAATTGCTGGAAAGGCTTAGCAGGCCTGGCAGCATCTATGGAAAGAAATCAGAGTTAACGTTTTAGGTCATAACAGTTCTACTCACCTTCCCATCTAACAATGGTTACACAAGATAAGTCAGGAATGTGAAAACACAATGTATGAGCAAATTACTACAGATGCTGAAATCTACTGAAAACAAAAAAATTGCTGGAAATCACAGTGAGTCAGGCACCATCCATGGAGAGACAACAAGCTAATATTTCGAGTGTGGATGAGTCAGAGCTGATATGCTCTGATGACGAGTCATCTAGACTCGAAACGTTAACTTGCTTTTTCTCAATGGATGCTGCCTGAATACAGTGATTTCCAGCATTTTTTGTTTTTAGTCAGGAATGTGAAAAGGTTGTTCGGCCCAATCGAAGTTTGTTTGGAATGTTGGTAAATAAAATGTTATAGGCTAACAAATTACAGGTGTTGTTACTTGTCCTGATGAAGGGTCCCAACCTGAAATGTCGACTTTCCTGCTTCTCTGATGCTGCCTGACCTGCTGTGTTCCTCCAGCTCCACACAGTATTGACTCTGACTCCAGCATCTGCAGTTCTTGCTATCTCACAGGTGCTGTTAGTTAGATTTATCATTTTCATGTGTTAATTCAATATTATTCTTATTCAATACTATTCCAAACAAGTTGATGGAAATGAAGTAGGGCCCTCTACAGGACATCTCAGTGAACAGGCACTATGATGCTGTGGTTAAGGTAAAAGTCTTCCCCACTGTTAGACTTCAGATTGGATCTCTCAATTTTCAAATCCAATGTTGATCTTGTTTTTTTTTTGTGTACCTTCTCTGCAGCTGTAACTTTGTATTCCTCAATCTGTTCAAACACCCTATGATCTTTGTATGTTATAATCTGCCTGTAGTGTACGCAAAACAAAACTTTTCACTGTACCTAGGTACTTGTGATAATAATAAATCAAATCAAATCAAATCATAGGACTGCTGTCTGAGTGAGTGAGTGAGAGAGAGAACTGGTGGTTAAACCTGAGGATCATCATGCCTCAGAGCTATGGCAAGGTTGAGAAGGAGAGTCCAGTGCTGGAATTGAAAAAAAGCTGTTGATGTTGTTAACAAACCATCCAGCCAACTGAGCAAACTGACCCCGTTTGTGGTTAAGGATGTGCAGTTGGACTAAAAGATTGCAAAATGAACACCATGAGATTTGAATTACAAAGTGTAAAATAAGAGGGGAAAGATTTAAAAAGAACCTGAGGGATAACTTCTTCACGCAGAGGGTGGTGCGCATATGGAGTAAGCTGTCAGAGGAAGTGATGAAGGCTGGTACAATTACAACATTTAAAAGGCATGTGGATGGGTATATGAATAGGAAGAGTTTAGAGGGGTTTGTGCGAAATGCTGGTAAATAGGACTAGATAAATTGGGACGTCTGGTCAGTGCAGACAAGTTGGACCAAAAGGTCTGTTTTCATGTTGTTTGACTTTATATCCCTCTAAACGTTTCCTATCCATGAACCTGTCCAAATGTCTTTTACATGATGTAATTGTACTCATCTCTGCTACTTCCTCTGGCAGCTTGTTCCATATACACATGTGACAATACTGTGGCTTTAAGAGATGTATTTTGTCCTGGCTGTTTTTATGAAGACAAGTTGAGACAGAAGAGTTAAGCAGTCTGTTTGTAGCCAATAAAGTAAACATCATATGAGGCTTTGGATGTCTTTTTAAGTTGGAACAATAGAAGCAACATGAAGGGATGAGAGTCAACATTTAGTTTAACTTTCAGTAGTTGCTGGGGTCTTGAAGCTGGATGTGGAAGCTCTTATTCCTCTCTCTGTTACAGCTAAAAGCTGGGGTTCTCTTCCTGCTGCTAGAATTGCATGTGAGAAAATCTATTTTACTGAATTTGCCTTTGCCAAGGGTGTGTTTATGGGATGTTACTATATTGAAACAGTTGCTGTTGGTAGTTAAATAATCTATTATCCTGCTAATTTTTCCAACAGAGTTGTTATTCCAATTCTTCTTCTTTCTTTTGTTTGTATTTGTTTGTGTGTAAGAATAAGATGTGTTTTGCTTTAAACCTGGTAGTATCTAATCAATTGAATTGCATTGGAACACAACACCTTACACTTGACTTTAAAAATAAGAAAATGTTGGGGTCTAGGCCATCTTCTTAAAATATTTTGAGGATGTTTGGTCTCATCCATTACATGCACAATCCTCTATGTGAAAATATTTCCCCTCAGTGCCTTTTAAATCTTTCCCTTAATCATAGGCCCTCTAGTTTTGGACACTTCTACCCTGGAGAAAAGATCTTGGCTATTCACCTTTTCTATGTTCCTCATGATTTTATAAACATCTATAAGGTCACCCCTTGGCCTCCAATGCTCCAGGGAAAAAAGTCCCAACCCCTATCCAGCTTCTCGTTATAACTCAAACCTTCCAGTCATCCTTGTAAATCTTTTTTGCATCCTTTCAAGTTTCACAACATCCTTCCTATAGCAAGGTGATCAGAACTGTACATAGTACTCCAAATGTGGCCTTACCAATGTCTTATGCAGCTATGACATGATATCCCAACTCCTGCACTCAATGCTCTGACCGATGAAGACGAGCATGCCAAATGCTTTCTTCACCACCCTGTCTATCAGTGACGCCACTTTCAAGGAACAATGTACCTGCACCCCTAGGTCTTTCCGTTCGACAGCCAACCTCAGGGCCCTACCATTAACTGTGTAAGTCCTGCCCTGGTTTGTCTTACCAAAATGCAACACCTCACATATGTTTTATTAAACTCCATCTGCCATTCCTTGGCCCACTGGCCCAGTTGATCAAGATCCCATTGTACTCTTAGATAACCTTCTTCACTACACCACCAATTTTGGTATCATCCACAAACTTACTAACCATGCCTCCTAAATTCTCATCCAAATCATTTATATAAATGGAGAACTACACTGGACCCAGCATCAATCCTTGTGGAACACCATTGGTCACAGGCCTCCAGTCTGTACAAGAACCCTCTACCACTGCTCTTTGTTTCCTACCATCAAGCCAATTTTGTATCCAATTGGCTAGGTCACCCTGGATCTCATGTGAGCTAACCTTACTAACCACTCTACCATTCAGAACCTTATCAAATGCCTTGCTAAATCCCATGTAAACCACACCTACTGCTCTGCCTTCATCTATCTTCTTGGTCATCTCTTCAAGAAGCTCAGTCAAGTTAGTGAGACATGATTTCCCATGCAGAAAGTCACACTAACTATCATGATGAAGGGTCCCAACCGGAAACATCAACTTTCCTGCTCCTCTGATGCTGCCTGACCTGCTGTGTTCCTCCAGCTCTATGCTGTATCGACTCTGACTTCCAGCCTCTGCAGTTTTTGCTATCTCTTATCCCTAATCAGTTCTTTTCTTTGCAAATGCATGTAGACCCTGTCTCTCATAATCCCCTCCAACAGCTTACCCACCACTGACATCAGGCTCACTGTTCTGTAGTTCCTTGGTTTTTCTTTACAGCCTTTCTTAAATAAGAACAATAGCCACCCTCCAGTCTTCCATCACCTTACCAATGGCTGTCGATGATACAAATATCTGTGCACAGGGTCCCGCAATTTCTTTCCTAATTTCCCATAATGTTTTGGGATACAGTTGAACAGGTCCCAGGGGTTTATGTGTTTTAAGACCTCCAGCACCACCTCCTCTGTAATGTGGACTCTTTTTAAGACAATCCAACTACATGAAGATCCTCGGCAGATCGTGTTAAATGGAAAATCCTTCACAAAATGTCCTTTTTTTTGAGAGGGTGAAATAATCAATAACGAAACACACCGTTCCCAAACCATGGTACCACTTGTGTTGCACAAAGATATTTCTGAAGGTACATAAGCGTTGCCATCTAATGGCAAATCCTCTTGTATGTCATCATCATTCTCTCTCACACAATCTTAGACATAGAACCAGGCCCTTCAGGTGCAAAGTTTCAAAACAATTCTTCACGCAAAGGACGGTACAGGCTTAAAAATTCTCATCTACAAATAGCAGTTGAGGATGGATGCATTAATCTGAGACAGGTGGAGTTTAGTTATC